TTTATTTATTTATTTGTTTCTTTCAGAACTTCGATGATATGTGATTTCCTCGTATTTACTCGTTCGCATATTTCAGAACTTCGATTTTATGTAATTCACATTTATGTCTCCCAAAAAACCAACCTCGCGTCCACGTCGTGGGAGATGGAAGCGGACATTTGTGCCGACTAAAGAGGCTCTGGTAATAACAATATAATATAATATACGAGCAATGCACTATTAAATCCATAGTATTACCGAAGATAATATCATTTTGTTCTTGCGTGTTTTTTGCCCGTTTATAAGGTGGTGATGCTGTGGTTACCGGACGGTATAACCAATGGCGTATGACTGTCAATGAACTGTAAATGTTGGCGTATTAAAAATATCATCATTTATGACAATGATGTAATGCGTAATCGTTATGAAAGCCACAGGTTGTCAAGTAGGCGTATTCAAATATTCTCATTCATAACAATGGTGTAATGCGTAAATGTTATGAAAGCCACACATTGTCAAATCGGCGTATTCAAATATTCTCATTCATAACAATGGTGTAATGCGTAAATGTTATGAAAGCCACACATTGTCAAGTCGGCGTATTCAAATATTCTCATTCATAACAATGGTGTAATGCGTAAATGTTATGAAAGCCACACATTGTCAAATCGGCGTATTCAAATATTCGCAGTTACGACAATGTGGTTTTAAACAACTGGATACCGAATGATAACGTAGCTGCAAGGAACAAAATCATAATAACTCGTGAATCATAATCTGAAATTCGTTCTCTATTTCATAAGTCACGCGTACAGAGTCGGCCATTTTGAATTTAAATTGATATAAAATACTCTACGACTTTAGTATTTAATCAAATGTCAACTGCAATCAATAAATAATACTACGGCGACATTTTTTTTATTATATTCACTTTTTAATGACACAAAGTTTACAAATATAAGTCATATATTTCCAACTTTTGTATGCAAAGTTATCGTCATATCAGTAAAATAGTTTAGTTAAATGTAAGTGAAAGATATCTGCGAATACCACTTTGTCTTCTTGTTTGTTTTTTTATAAAATAAGATATTAATGTGTTAGTTTAATGTTTGTATGTTTGCTTGGTTATATGATTGTCCAGTCGGTCTGTTCATTATCAGCATGTTTGTTTGTTTGTTTGTTTGTTATTTCTGTGTATGTTTGTTTGTTTGTTTGTACGAATTAACCACATAAATCAACTGTTCTAGGTCAAATAAACAAGTGCCTCCATAGTTATTTCAAAACAAGCAATGAATAGAAAAAAATAGCACAATATCAGATTAATACCCACTTGTGTGGACGCACTTATAAAAATATCGTCTTTAAAGTTACAACTTGTGCCTAATATGTTAGTGTTATACATATTACAAATAGTACTGAATAAACTGTAAATAACCATGCTCAATTCTGAATTATGTGACCAGCGTGCCTTCTAATAGGACTGATTTCGTAGGGTTTCTGAGTCAAAAATAAATCCGAAAAATTCAAGTTGAATCAGCTTGGTTCACTGTTGGAAAGGTCGGTCTTCATGGGTTGATGCATGTTGTGACCCTTGATCTCAAGACCGCTGTATCAATGTGCGATTCTCTCTTACGTCATTTAATTGATGTGCCTGTGAATTGGCACAACTAGATGCGTCACAGCAACTCTATGCGCGTCAGTGGCGCGTCATATTATCGGCTTGCGACGTAGTACACGTCTCTTCTGGTGTATTATATATTAAGAACTAATTTCTTCCGCAAAGTGTCATATTTGTCTGTCCAATTTCCAGCTCAGTAGATGTAGATTAGCATCTAGACCAGCAATGTCTGAAGCCCAAATTTGGTCCTTACTTGTGATAAAGCGCCACGTCGTCATGTTAGATGTGGTTCCATTCGACAGTTACTAGGAGTCTAGTGTGCGTACATGCATGGCAAATGTTGGCTCGATGTCCATATTCAAAATTAGTGACTTCTGTACAACTGAGCGAGTACGCATGGAATTACATGCAAGATGCATGGCTCCTTATAAGGTGTTGACGAGTATCACGTGACGAGATTGTAACCAATCGCATTGACGATATCAATAGGGAGATAAAATTATGTTCTTATAAGCATTGTTTATAGTTAAATTCTAGTCTAAAAATATGTATTTCCAAATGATTTACATTTTTTCTCTGTAAATAATCTTCTCTTGAATAATGCATATATTGTTGATGTCAATTTTCAAACAACAATCATGGAATAAAACAAAGCATGGAAGCCAAAATAGAAAATAATACAACTCCAGAGTTCAAATGTCTTAATGAAACTTCCCGTACTCGGTATGACTGTGTTGCAGGCTTCCTCGTCACATGACGAATAACAACGCAGGGATATTCGTATGTTGTCTATGCAGTTGCCGTCGGCTCCATAATCATCGTTGCCACAGTAACGGTTGACGTAATCATATGAAGATACCCCAGCCATGTAAGTAACTATTTTGGAAAAATGACAAAATCGCAAATGTTAATATTCGAGTGCATGTCATTTAATATATCTAAGATCAAAATGGCCACCGAAATCTCGTTGATAGTGAGAGGGCCACGAGACTTGCCACTTTAACATTGCTCCATTTTCGCGTCATTGCATTCGCTGTTCCATACAGCGGTATTTTAGAACATTGGACGCGATAAAAGAAGACTATTTGAAAAAAAAACAGTATTGTGGCTATCTCGCTTCGAGCGAGACCTTAGTGGCCGTTTTTTTTTTCAAACATGGAAGATTATTGGATATTGTTGATAAATTCTTGAGAATTATTAACAATATGGACTCCTGGGCCTCTGTGCTGTGGTGAAGGTGGCGCCCTCTAACGACAAAGTACTTCTGTGACGTTCGCCCGTCAATAAATAAAATACTATTTTTGAAAGATTTGATACATTCTTAGTGACTACGCAATCCAACAGAGTGTAACTGAACGACATTGCATAAACCAATGAATGTTATTTTAACGCCACGGGGCGTTTTGTCGATAGAGGGCGCAACATAAAATAAAGAAATATTGTGAAGTCATTGTGGGTTTACATAGAAAGTATCCACTTACGCTGGTCGTAGGGCTCCATGACTTCTGTTACGCACGCTCTGTGACCTGTGACACATGGTTGCGGCGAATCTAAATAATACTGACTATAACAAGAGAAGTCATTTCTAGAATCGCACTGGTAACATTGATGATAGTCTGCAGCAAGTGAGAAAACAAAAAGTGAAGATAAACATGAAAACCGTTTACAGATGAGCGGCCAGTTATTATTGCACATTGATTAAAACGCGTGGATGAATATTTATTTTCTAATTAATTTTTGCATTAAGGTGCGAAATACACAATCTACCGGAAAGATAACACTCGGGATACTAGCGCCCTGACAGTTTGTATCTTCGAAATTTAATTTAAAGTCTGAGACACTTCCACACTAAAGTATTGTATCTTGCTACGTACACAGAGTTATGGGGAAACCGGAATTGTAATTGCATATTACAGCGTATGACATGGTGAGAGTGTGTACAAATTCTCAGCTTTCGCTGGGTTGGTGTGGTTTGCTAGCTCTTGTATATAGCTGGTAGCGTCGCTTCGATACGAACACAACCTTCAATTGACCTCACTGTGATAACGCATGCGTTGTGGAATACGGATAAAGAGCCCGAAGCATGCGCACTGTGTACACAATATGCTAATAAACTTCAACGAGGTTATGACGTAAATATACTGTAAAACATGTTGAAAAAGCGGTATGCAATTTTAGCGAATTGTGGTAAAATGACGTAATACCGAAATGTTGATTTAGCGAATCTCTCTTGTCATTGTTGATTTCTTTGTTTAGCGGCCATTTTGAATTGATAATAAAGACATTAGCGACATCTTGAATTAGCGAATCAGTTCTCTTGCTAAATTCGCGAAAAAGACATGTTTTACAGTATCACATGAATATTATTTGAAAGTGAAATTATTAATAGAAAGCATATAGTACGAAACGCCGGAATCACGTATATTTGGTATTTAACCCTACTCTATCAGTTGTGGTTATTTGAAGACTGTAAACACATTCTATCATTCTAAACTGGTCACCAAATTTAACAACTGTTTCTACGGTTTACACTCAAATCTGAATGAACTACGGCAAGCCCCAATAAGTCTCGATTGTAAACAGCGCCACCAGTGGCGTTATAACAGCAAGCATTTCGCTATTTTTGCTGATAAATAAAATTCACCAATCTAAATCGAGGTGAACATGTAGAATAACAATAGAACTTATTGTTTCTCCGCCAAAAAGCAAAATTCAAACTTAAAACATCAAAATAGTGAAGTTGAATGGCAGTGAAAATAATTGGTTTCACAGTTACCAAAACAGCTATATGAATGTAGATTGTCTTCGTGACAAACCAGTACACGGGCTCACAGAAGCCCCGACCCATTGACGGAAACCCGGTTACACTTACGAGAATCGTCACTGTTACACAGGTCCTCGCCACTACACGTACATACGTATATGTCGTCTTTGCCTTCGGCTTCGGTATACCGACATTCATTTTTAATATCTGTATAAATGTTGTTGCAATCACAACCACGGTGCATCTGAAGATTTCCTGAAAATCAAGACAAATCATTTGCATTAAGTATCTCTCCTTTGACTGCTTCGCTCAAAACATGACGATGTTGGAAAACTGAATTGGATATGTGTCACTTACCGTCCAAATAATATGCACGCGTAATGCACGTGGAGTTGCATTCCGTGGTTGGCATGGACGACGGGTCGGTGAGGCATTCACGGTTGTAGTCATAAGCTGCCGAGTTGTAGTCACATGACACGCACATGATTGGCTCACTTATGTCGATGGAACTTATACATTCTGAAAAAAACATAACCAGTATTTCATTTGTATTAAGGTAGCGAGACTATTATTTGTGTTGAAAATTACGATTTTCACATTTATTTATTATTTGGTGAAATGCACTATAAACTTTCATCTGATAAAGTCAACGTAACCTAGAATGTCATGTAAGTTGGTTAAAATGTAGATTTTCTGAAGGGAAGCAAGGCAGCTTCAGTAGTGTTTTCCAAAATCAACAACACGGGTTTAATCTGTATGCCTATAAGTTTCAAAGATAAACTCAAGACAAAGCAATGTTAGGATGTGTTATCAGTAGCTATCTGACACACAATTAGTGTTTCCAAACATTTGAGTGGTTTGTCTCCGCCCCTGTTTATTTCACAGATTAGTCATTTGCATATGAATGTGTCAGACCCAAGGTCACACAGCCACTGAAAAAAATCATTGATTTTGGTGTTTTCATCTGCCAATTTTATTGAACTATAGCTATCCTATTCCTTTATTTTGTTGGTTTCCAATAGCCTTACACATTTGGATGCCCCTACACATGTTAAAACAGACTTTGATGGGAAAACAAGTCGCTTGTGCCGATAAACAAGCTTGAAAATCTTTGCTGTGAATTCATCGACGTTTTCTAAGAGTTTATGTTTT